CCGCGTCGCTGTCTTTGTTCTTGCAGCAGGAACTCTCTTTCTTACACATCCTAATGTAGTTAGTTCCACAATTTTTAGAAGCACTGAGCAGCTTCTTCTCGTTTTATAAACACATCCATCCGAGCAGAAGACAAGAGTAACGGGTAAAAGAAATTTAGAGTAAACTGTTCTGACTGGGACAACTGCTTGGTAAGACAGTAGTAGTGTAAAACCACAACTGGGAAGTGAGATGTTTTCAGTTTCTTCCCTGGTTAGTGAACAAACCCTTTAGTTTGCAACACAAATGTCCTTTGGGGTGAGAGAAAAGCCACACAGGCTCAAAATCAAACCTCCAACTGGCTTTAAACTCTGTGTGAACTTCTGTGCCACCGTGCAGGTTAGAAGATTACTTGGCCGTGTAGACACACAGATGAATTTCTATCTCCTGCTTTGTACTTAACATAATGAAGACTTCAGACAAGGAGCGCTTTCCTGCACTCGGCCAGGACAAGAGAGGAGACCGTTGCCATAGTGGAGCAGCCTCGTATCCACTGTGACAGTGCGTTTTCTGTCCGGCACCTCTCAGGGCAACACCACCACCATAACTGGGGGCTTTGCTGTTGCTTTGTCAAACCAACCCAAGGTGCATTTGGTGGAGCCTTAAAACTCGGTGATGTGTCCAGACACGGCAATTGTCTGCTTATCGTGTCCTAAACAGGTAACTTCAAACATACAGCAGCATACAAAGAGCAAAAAGCTGCCCCCATCTTAGCTGGCTGTTCAGCCATTTGTTTGGGCCTTAGTTGATCATTACTGGGAAATAACAGTCGCAGGTCTTGAATCACAAATACTGTGGCTTTGGTTCATAAGAGTTCGATCTGGAGAGCTCCTTCTGCACGACTACATTTATCTACAGGTGGAGAATCAAACTGGAGAAGATGATCTGTGAAAGGGATCCTGTGATTAGTGGTTGGTTAAAACCTCTAACTGATCTCAGCCAGAGCAGCTGACGGGGGGAAAAGATTTTTCTTTCAGTTTCACCAAAAATATGAGTGAAAAGTTCTGAGCTAGCACAGATTTTGATTTGAAAAGATGTCATCAATGTGCCGAACTGAATTTGCATTAAAATGTGCACATATTTGAGCAGCACATCTCACGCCTTCTCTTTCTGAGAAAACAAAAGCACATTCTTGTACACACAGGCCTCACGCGGTCCAGGTGGCAGCTTCCTGTGGAGGTATTATGGATGGAAATGACCGAGGCGCTGGCTTGTGAGCTGCCTGCTGAAGGCAGCGCTCAGCTGCCAGCTCCTCTGCTGTGGGAGCTCTTACAGTATCTGCACTACAGTCTGGCTCGGGAGCAAAGTGTGCACGGACCGACTGTGACGAGAGCTTTAGACAAGCTGGAGAATCTTCCATTTCTCATTATTTGGCAGGGCTGGCGGGTGTTTGGTGGAGGGGTGGGGGCTTCGCTCCATCTCTGCATGGTAAGCCCCTCGACGTGCACCCTCTGCAACTAATCTCACACAGTCAACAAATAAGGCACATCAGATGCTGTTTTGGCCGTGGCCATCAGAGCGGCTAAGTTCAGTGGATTTTACGGGTTTTGCAGCACAGGGACTCAGTGAGGAGAGAAGTGCTCTCTGCGGCGGCAGAATGGCAGGCGAAGCAGGGGGATCTGGTGCGAGGGCGAAGCAGGTGCAGCACAATACGGTCAAACCCATTCCAGTTCCCCTGTTCCCGGATGAGCGGGGCCACACTTGGCAGGGAATACTGCCTTGAAACTGGGCCATGCTGGAGAGACGGAGGCCCACCTGTGCCACCCGCAGCGGCAGAACAATAGTCTGAGTGTGTTGGCACGGAGTGTCAGTGAAATCTCATCAGACGGACGGGAGCGTGACTGCAGATAGACGGGCGGATGAGTCAGGTGGAGAGATGGAGAGGTGAAAAGACAAGGGGGGGTCAGAAGTGAAGGCTGTGATTAATAAGGCTCATAACAGACACTAAATGGAAACATAGTGAATGCTGATATCAAACAGCACGGGACAGATCAGGCATGAAGGTGGATAACGAGCTTACAGTTTGGAGTTTTGTCAGTCTGATTAACTGATTCATATGTTTGTCTATAAAACAAAGTCCAGGGTGCAGCCCTGTTTTACAGTTGCAATAAGGATTCGGTTCTCGCTGAAGTAAGTTGCACATTATCAAGATAAAAAGATGAGAAGATGCAAATTAGATACGGTTTTTGTTTTGTTTTCTTTGAAATCAGTTTCGAAATTGTTGACTGGTTGGAGAGAGGATCTGAGATGATACAACACGCCATGTTGTCGAGTGCTTTCCCTCTCAGAATCGTGGCTTGAGGTCGTGCGCGCAGGCCCTTGCTGCATGTTGACAGGGGCCGCAGAGGTCCGTGTTTGCCCAGTCCTCGGACGACATGTTTGTCACTTAAACTTCTGGCTCGGAAGTCGAGGCAGAGCTCCAGAAGTAAACTGGAGAGTGTGTGTATTTGATTTTGATTCTCAGAGCTGTGACCTAGAGCTCAGACCAAACTATGTCCCATTTCACAGGCTACTGCGTGCTACTGTACGACATACTGCACAGGGAGATGCACCGACGCTGTACTCAGTCTTTAAAATACTACTCGACAAAGTCTCTGGGAATGGATCCTGATGGTACTGAGAAACTCTGGAGTTTGGTTTCTAGTAAAACATGAAAAACAGTGTCTGCAAAATCGAACTACAGGTGGATTTTTGATATGCTGAACAACTGGTCATAGCATTCGAACTTCATTAACATTGAGGTGCTGTAGGTGACAACGTCTGTGCCCTTTGTCCAACGTCCAACAGTGGGATGTTGACGATGTGCAGATCCATTTTTGCATTTCATCACTTTGAGACGAGGTTTGGGAGAAGATCCCTTAAATCAACAAAGGCTGAAATGTTGTGTAAATGCTTCAAACCACACAACGGGCTGGCTAGCTAAGCGGCTTTCATAAAGTGTGTGTACACTACTGTTTCTATAATCAACGACACTGCTTCAGCGCGGTGCACAAAGGCCACATCTGCAAACAACCATTGAGTTATTCAAGAAAACAACCCAAAGTGAACAATGTCTCTGTTACTGACATGGACAAGACGAAATCTGAAGCACTTGAAACGTTTCTTATTTAAAATCACGACATTAATGCACATAAACCTTGGAGACCATTTTATTGGCTGTGAGGTCTGACCTGGTGCGTTAGCGAAGGCCTGGAAGTTAAACACAAATGTGTGTTTTAATAGATATTTTCTGTGAGTTTCCTTCTACAAGCTGGAAAAGCTAAAATCTTTTGCAATAAATCAATGAAACAAATCAACGACTACAAAATGAAGCTGCCATGTTTTTGTCTTCATTGTAATTTCTGGGAGACAAATAACAAGAAATAAACACAGATGATGGCGACTTTGCTCCCATCCAAATGTTCGTGCTGACTTGATGTATTAATTGATTGTACAATTTGTCACTTTTACAATATCGACGACCAAAAAACGATCCACAAAAGAAGAATCCGTTTAGGTTAGAGAACGAATCTCCCATCTGGATTGTGGTGTGAAAGCACTTGCGAGCATGAGAGTTGTAATCCAGTTGCAAGATGCTTATTTTGCAGTGATAAGCTACAGGCTTTGAAAGATTTTATTACCAGAACAGAGACTTTTTTCCAGCCTATACAGTAGCTTCGCTAATCTAGGGCTTACTTAATCCAACAGCAACAGGACGGCGGCAACATTCATCACATTTTTCCACACTTGTCTGTTGTTCAGACAAAATGTTAATGAGCTGAACAGACAATTTAAACTGCAAACTCCTCTCATACTGCTGTACATGTCCCACTGTTTACTACAGTGCTCTAAGTCATCTGCTGATCCACTTGTACCTGGACACGCTCACCATCATTCTTCTGAGACTGTGAAGTCTTTTTTATTGAAATAATTGGAAATAGTCAAACTAAGTTGGCGCTTGGATCCAAAATTACACTAAAATGTACAGTACATAGTGACAATAATGAGGTGGATGTGGCAAACCACACACGTGTGGTTGTTCAAGAGAAATCAGCACAATCTCACAGTCTGTAGACAATAAAATA